GTGTGATAGGTTGTACTGTTTTAAACAATAGTGAAAATTCTCTTTCATGTTGAAAGGGGAGTGGAGTACTCTCGGATTGTGAGGGGAACCACTATAAATCCTGTGTCTTTCTTTCTTTCTGTTGATTTACTGTTTTCCATAACCAAGAACACCATCCAGTATATTTCCAAGAACCATATAAAAACCGGAAAAATTTCAAAAGTCCTAATTCACCCCCCCCCCCCCTCTTAGGCATACTCTGTTCTTACACATTCTAACTCAAACTTTCCTCTGTAAACTAGAGTTAATAACATGTTCATCCAGCATCTACACATCTATCATGACACGAGAAGACAAAAAACGTTAAAAGCTTAAATATAAATATTTACAATTTCAGTGAAAATCAAAGTGTTGGTGATACAGTCCTTGAAAACAACGCCAAAACTTATTGTATATTTTATTTGTACAAGTATATACAATCAAAGTTAGTATCGAATGTTAAAAGTAAAAGTATTTATCCCATAAAGATTGTGTTAAAATTCCGTCTCCTAGAGAAAGCGAACGGAAGGTGAAGAAAGAAGGTTGATCTTAGCCGAAGAAGTGAAAAAATTTATATAACCAAAGTTCATCTAAGATTCCCCCGGTTTGGCTAACATATTGATGGTAAAAAAAGAATTAAGAGGAATGGAAGATGTGTGTAGATTTCACCAACCATAACAAGGTGTGCCCTAAAGATCCATATCCACTACCAAGTATTGTCAGGATCGTTGATGACACGTCTGATTTCAAATTGTTAAGTTTCATGGACGCCTACTCTGAATACAATCATATCAGAATGAGCCTTAACATCGCCATAAAGATAACCTTCATGACGAACAAGAATAATTACTACTATGTTGTCATGTCGTTTAGACTTAAAAATGCAAGAGCAACGTACCAAAGGCTCATGGACATTTGTGTTCTCCAACCAAATAGGTCAAAATTTGAAGATTTATATCAATGAAAAATTCGTCAAATTTCCCAATGAAGGGTAATATTACGGCGACCCAAAGAAGACTATTGTTGGAAAGAAGGTTCAATATGTGGATTAATCCGAACAAGTGTTTGTTTGGGGGTACAAGCAATAACATTTATGGGTTTCATGCTAACCAGTCAGGGAATATAGGTCAATCTGGACAAATTCCAAACAATCATCAACATGAGGAGTCTAACTTTGGTTAAAGAAGTTCAACAATTAATCATGAGGATATCAATACTCTATAGATTATTGTCCTGTGGTGACAAGTCACTACAATTCTTTGCCACTCTGAAGAAGGCAAAAATATTTCAATGGACAAAAAATTGTAATAAGACCTCTCAAGAGTTGAAGAGTTTCTTATCAGCTCCATTAGTTCTTACACACCTAAAGGAATCTGCATCATTGATATTGTATTTTTCCATCATAGAGAAAGCTATAAGCCCGATCTTGGTCCAAGAAGATAAGGAGGGAGAAAAGTCAGTTTACTTCGTCAGTAAAATCCTAAAAGGAGCTTAGTTGAGCTATCACAAGATAAGGCAGTTAGCATTGGTAGTTATGATTATGGAGAGAAAGTTGAGGCCTTATTTCAAGGGACATCATATCATTATTAAAACTAACTATCCAATCAAGAAATTGATGAAAAATCCTAATCTGGCGGGTAGAATGATGGTCTGGTCAATAGAGCTTTCTGAGCATGACATAACGTGCATGCCTAGGGGCATCATCAAATCTCAAGTCTTGGCAGATTTCTTAGTCAATTTCAGCATTCTCGTTGAGGCATAATCCCCATGCTTTTGGTTCTTGTCAGTGGACGAATCCTTCAACCTAAAAGGGAGTGGAACGGATATCATGTTATAGGGGCCAAGAGAGGTGATCATGGAACAATCTTTGTGTTTCAACTTTCAAGTCAGCATAACCAAGCGGAACTTGAAACTCTACTAGCTAGAATGAAACTTTCCTGGGAAGTAGGAGATACTCACCTTCGAGCCTGAAGTGATTCTCAACTAGTCACTAACCAAGCATGGGGATATTATCAAACCAGGAGTCATTACCGACCAAATACATGTAATAAATCTTCAAGATGTTAAAATATTTTCAGACCTTAGAGATAATGCATGTGCCCTGGGAAAAATATCTGGGTGGATCTATTGGCAAAGCTTGCTAGTACTAAAAACCCAGGATTAAATAGGACAATGATACATGAGACACTCGACAACCCGAGTACAGAAATCAAAGAGGTTGTAATGATTGGGAGCAGAGAAGCTAGATGTCTCTGATCGTTGAATAATTGATTGTGGAGCGTTTGCTAGAAGGATAAGTGAAGGCCAATAAGATATGAAGGCTCGTCGTCTGATATGTCAGGGTGGTGGGGAGACTTTACAAAATGGGAAGATCAATGCCAAGCTAAGATGTATCCTGAAAGATGAAGTAAACTTGGTGTTGGTCGAGGTACACAAAGATATTAGTGGAAGTCACATAGAAGGAAGATCCTTAGCAAGCAAACTTTAAATGGTCGGGTACTACTGTTTAAAAATTTTCAAAGACAACGCCAAGTTCGTTAATTAGTGCGATAAATACAAAATATATGCGCCTTTCATCCATACTTATGTCAAACTATTGCATTTAGTTATCTCGCCATGGACATTTCACAAACGGGGAATGAACATTATGGGCCCATTTCTGTTGGCGTCGGGCCAACTAAAATTCATATTGCCTGGGTAGACTATTTTACCAAGTGGGTATAGGCACAAGAGGTGGCAAGGATAACAGTAGAAAGAGTCAGACGTTTTTGTTAGAGGAACATCATTTGTCGCTTTAGGCTTCCCAAAACCATAATTTTCGATAATGGGATTTCGTTCAGCAACTCGATCATGATATAATTCTGCTCAAGTCTAGGGATTTAGACAAAATTCATATCAGTTGAGCACCCCTATACCAAAGGACAAGTGGAAATCGACCACAAATTTGTATTGTCAGGAATGAAGAAAAATTTGAAAGAAGCCATGGGTTTGTAGATTGAACAGCTCTACAAGGTATTATGGTCGTATCATACGACCCCACATTCCACGACTAAAGAAACCCCATTTCGAATGGTTATGGATCCAATGCGATCCGCTAGAAATTAACACTCTTACATGGGGGAGATAACGCTTTAATGAAGAAGACAACTAGATAGAATTGAGAAGTGTAACATATATGATCGAAGAAGTTCGAGAAATAGCGCACATATAGGAATACACATCAAAGTAGAGGGCGGAAAAGAGACACAACACCAAGGTGCGACCAATGGCGATGGAAAAAGACAATTTGGTTTTGAAGCGAGTGGTGGACCCGTCCAAGAAGGAAAAACTACAATGTAATTAGGAAGAACCATATTTGATACTTTAGATGTTGTCACACGGGGCACACGAGTTAAAGAGCCTAAAAGGAGTGGAAATCCCTCGGACTTGGAATGTAACAAGCTTAAGGCATTATTTTCGTTAGAAGGATTTCTTTTCGGCGAGGATAAATTGTACTTTGAATTTTTTTTAATAACCAGTGATTTAGGGTAACACTATTTTCCACTACAAGAGCATGGATTTTTAATGAGGCACCCTTGACATTTCATAAAATTATTGTTATTCAGGTATTAGCGAAGCATGGACAAGAACACATAAAACTATTTGAGTTATTTATCCAAATACCTCCATCAGGGGGGACAATCGAAACTCAATTGACTCTCCGAGCTATTTAACCTAAGACTTCCATCGGGGGTGGCAACCAGAGCTCATTGGACACTCCGAGTTATTTAACGAAGACCTCCACAGAAGCGGCAACCAGAATCCACTAGACACTCCGAGTCATTTAACCCAAGACCTCCACAGGGGCGACAACCAAAATACACTGGTCACTCCGAGTCATTTAACCCAAGACCTCCGCAGGGGGTGACAAACAAAATCCATTGAACTCTCTGAATTATTTAATCCAAAACCACCGCCGAAGATGGTGATTGAAACCCAATAAACTCTTTAAATTATTTAACTCAAAACCTCAACATGAGCAACAATAAAAATTCATTGTAACTTCCATATAAGTTTATCTAATTAATTTCAAAAGAGATACTCATTCCGTCCATAATGAGTGATTCATTTAAAATAAAAAGTGTCACAAAATGAATGATCTATTTCAATTTAAAATGTAATTTTTTTAATTCTACTCTTTGATAATGATTACTTTAGTAAAAACATTATTTTCTCCTTCATTTATTAATTTTTCTTAATTTTTAATATGTATGAAATTGTCACCAAATCGTAAGAGGGAGGGAGTATTAAATTAGTGTTCTTTGCATTAACAAAATTCATTACTCCTTCCGTCCCACAATGAGTGGTCCATTTGAAATAAATGAATGTTCCAAAATGAATAACCCAATTCTTTTTCCAATGCATTTTTTTATAATTTTATCTTTAACTAATATTATTTTCATCATTTCTAATATATGATAAAGATACTTTAATAAAAAATATTATTTTCTCTCTTTTAAGACGATGGAATTACTTTCTATCTATACTAAATAAAAATAGTTAGAATTGAATATTGTTTGTTGGTAGATATAATTAAAGAGGTGAAAATACAAATACAAAGGACAGGTGTAGGAAATCAATAATAAGATGTGACAAGTGAGAGGCATGAGGGAGCATGGCCCCAACCCAAACACACGACACCGTCACTCTCACACGTACAAAACAGAAAAAACAGTCCTTAGAGTCGTGTCTACAAAGGACACTCATTCACTCCGTCTGGCTCAGAGTCCAGACCGGAACCTATCCAGGTGCCGAATTAATCGCGTTATTTTGTATTACATTGGTACTCCCTTTTTCCTCGTTACACCACACATAATTACACCATTACTTGTTTCATTTCCCTTTCTTCTCTTCTCTTAACCCTTCTTTTCCGCTGCCATGTTCTTTCTCTCTCTCTATTCCTAATTCATTCCCCATTCCACCATAACACAATCCTCTTCGTCATGACTGCAACTTCTCTCATCACTATTACTCCCGACGAGCTCAGGTTTCAATGTATGTTCTTCTTCTCTTCATTTGTTTTCTATCTGTAAAGATCGTTATATGAATTTATTTCCTTTGTTTTTCGTTGATGACGTTGTAATCTTAATTAGTTGTTATGGTTATGATGTTTATTATGTAACCAGTTGAGCTGGAAAAGCAAACATTTTGCGATCTTAAAGTATTGAATAACACACAGGAGTATGTTGCTTTCAAGGTAATTTATGATACCTTCACATTCAACCGTTTATTTCTGATGCTAGTTTTTCTCTTGATTATTCTGATTGCATTTCATTCTGTTTGGTGTTTGCTAGGTCAAAACCACTTCCCCTAAGAAGTATTTTGTACGGCCAAATACAGGAGTTATACATCCCTGGGATTCATGTATCATCAGAGGTACTTTTCTTTTCCGGGAATTTTCTGTCTTTACCCTTTGGTTCCAATGGAAAATGTGCCCGGCCCTGGTAATCCGGAGTTCGGCCGAGAAATAAGTCAAATATGTCAAATATTGTTTCAAATCAGGGTCTATGTAGCACCGACACCCTTAAAACAGGTGTGTGTGTGTGTGTTTGAGTCGGACTTTTCTGATTACACCCAAAGAAGATCTTGATAAGAACACCCTTTTTTGTTTTGGCTTGAAATTGAAACACTTTTTCAAGGTCTTCAAAGTTTTGAAAGATTGAAATGCTTAATGGAGATATATGCATGTGATCACATTACTAAACAGCTATCCTATATGGACCTTAATTTTGTAATTGGTCATTTCATATGATACAGAGATACTAGACTCGAAATCAATCGGATATCTGCACTTTTTTTCTGAACTTGGAGTTCTTTTTGCATTATGTAGTATTAGCATCTGTCATATTGTCCGATTTTTGTACTTGTACAGTCACTCTCCAAGCTCAACATGAATACCCTCCAGACATGCAATGTAAAGACAGATTCCTCTTACAGAGTACAATAGTGAGTCCAAATTCTGATGTTGATGATCTTCCTCAAGATACGGTAAGAAAGTAACTGTCCTCAACATTGTCCTCTCAACTGTATCAGTTATATGAGCTGCAAAGAAGAAAAAAAATGATCACGGATACTGTTATTTTTGCTTGCAGTTTACTAAGGATAGTGGTAATTCAATAGAGAATTTGAAACTAAGAGTCTCGTATATTTCCCCCTCCCCAACCGAAGGAGGCTCTGAAGATGATGCGAAGAATTCCACACAAAAACTTGATTCATCTTCTGTGAATGTCTTCTCTTCCACCATCTTTTGTGCAATTCAGTTTCAAGTTTCATTTTCATTCTTGAATATGAAGAAAATGAAAAATAGTTTCAAGTATCATTTTCGTTGTTGAAGTTTGTGTGTGATCAACTGTTAAAAATATTTTTGTTGATTTGTAGTATTAAAAATTGTTGTCAAGTTGTGAAAAATCATGCACTACAAATCAAAGGAAATTGTCTTGGAGTTTTTTGCATGCCAAGTGTATGATAAATTGATAACACACCAATTGTTCGACATATTGTCAATTCAATTTTATCTACAATAAGTTATTGGAAATTGGTTCACCTTGAGTAGTTTTCATTTGAATAATCGATTATGAAATTTATTGATTCAGATATATCATCAAAATTATTCCATTCGGTTTCGCATATCCGATCTATCCAATAACAGTTCATTTAGAAGATTTTTTATCCAAGGCCGCTTTCGCACAATTTTGTAAAACAAATTTTTAACGCGCAAACTATTAAAAATTAGTGATATATTCAAACTCCCTATAGATCAGTGTCATCGTCTAACAAGTGGTATTATGAGCACCGGTTCATCTAGTGCTTCGCATATAGCTTATTAAAAAATTGCTAACGTACCTAAAGGGGCATATAATAGAGCGTTGGTTTTTAATGGCGAAAACTACAGTTATTGAAAAGATTGCATGTCAGTGCATATCAATTCTATTGATAGAAAGGTACGGAACATTATTCAAAATGATCCTATTAAAATAACCATGACCAATGCGAATAATGTTGTTGTACCCAAATCGTAAGCATAATGGAACGAAGATGATGAGAAAAAGTACAATTCGTATGAAGGCACCTCTAGAAGTACAATGAGAATATATTTGGGATGCTGTACAAAATGGTCCATTTGTTCCTACTAGTGTTGTCGAAGGCATTGAGATAAAAAAGATTAAAAATTCATGGAATGAAGATGATAAGAAGAATGTACTCTACGACATGAAAGTAATCAACATACTTTTAAGTTCACTTAGAATGGATGAATTATTTCGAATTTATCAATGCACAACGGCGAAAGAGATATGGGATACGTTAGCAGTAACTCATGAAGTAACCGCTAAAGTAAAAAGATCAAGATTGAATACATTATGCCAAGAGTATGAATTATTCGGAGTGCAACCCAGAGAATCAATCCTTGATCTACAAAATTGATTTTTTCACTCAACTAATCCCCTGATTGCTCTCGGTAAGACTTTTACTAATGATGAAATAAATCTTAAAGTTCTTAGGTCTTTAACTAGTGAATGTCAACCAAAGGTGACAGTGATATCAGAAAAGAAGAGTCTTTCTACCATGACATTCGCTTCCTTGTTCGAAAAACTTCAAGAACATGAAATACAAGTAAAAGTTTCAAAAGATGTTATATTAAAAATAAGAGTCAAATTTCATTATACCGATCAAGAGGAAAAATCCACTGATGACAATGATAATCTTATTAAAATGATTGAAAAGTTCTTGAGAAAAGAAAGGAAAAAGGAGATCATTCACAAAGAAGCACCAACAAGGAGAGTTACATGTTTTGAATGTGGAAAAAAGGGACATGTCAAGAGAGAATGTCCTACACTTGAAAAGAAAGAAAAAATAAAAAACAAGAATCGCAAAAAGGAAAAGAAAGCATATGTAGCATAGGATGACAATGAAATAAGTTCATCTTCAGATAAACATCATGCATGTAAGGCATTGATGGTCTCACATCATTCAGGTGATGAAGAACATGGGGATATTAGGTACCTAGATGTAACTAATTGTTTTAAAGGTACTTGAAGATCATATGCTAGCATTATCAAATCAAGATTGATCCTCCAAGACACGAGACTATATAATATGGTAGTTCTAAAAGTTTCATCGATTAAAAAGATGTTTTGAAAAAGCATCAATATTGATATAAACTTTGACATCAAATTCTTATGAAGGATATAAGTGTCGAATTTTGTGCTATTAATTTAATTATAATAATATATCATTCATATGTTATCACCTTGTTTTATACTTTATTCTACTTTGTCTTCTTTTTGATGATGTCAAAAGAGGAAGAAGTAGTAGGTATTGTATTTGCTCTTGTTCATAATTCTTTTAGGGGAGAAATCCTTTAATTGCAAAAGCAAGAGGGAGTTATACAAGATAGAGGGAGATTCTAGTTGCTACTCAATATTTTAAAAAGTCACATATTGAAGCAACTTATTGGTGATTAAGTTAAATTTCAAAGAATGGTTTGCCATTATCAAAAAGGGGAGAGAATGTGAAGAAGAGTTCTTCTTGTCCTAGGCTATAGTTTTGATGAAGACAAACACATCAATAAAAAGAAGGGTCAAAGCTTGAAGACCAGAGCAATCAAATTCGAATTATCAAAAAACTTTGAAAAACTAATGGAAGAATCAAGATGGTTGAATATGCATTATAATTCAAGTATATATATCATAATTGCTCATAAAAATCATGCATATTCATCTTAAACATTTCATGATTCTTTTAAAATTATTTTTAAATTAACTATTCTGTTTTTGGTCAATAATGGCATTTCAAACCACAATAATAACACTTTAGAACCACCACAATTTGCACAATTTTCTAATATGTTTTCAAAAAGTGTTTATTAAAATTTTCAGTGAGGTAAAGGGTTACATGAACATTTTTTTTGAAAAATTTTTACGTTATTTTTGAGGTAACTGGTTACATCCCTGAGGTAACCGGTTACCACTTAACCAGTGACACTTTTTTCACGAAAATTCTGATGCAAACGAATTTTTGAAAGCCTTTTTGAACCATGACATCTTTTCATGTATGTCTACACTTTTAGATAGGTATTAAGGCATTATATTAACCATACTTTTTAAAATTCAAACTCATCTCTTTCATAGAAATTCAAAACTTATATTCTCTCATTTTTAAAATCAAGTTTTCTTGACATAAATTTTTGTTGAAACTTCTGCACTGTTAAGTATTAACAAGTGTGAGTAGGGTGGATAATAGTCTCACATTGGATAGAAATGTGGTGACTTGAGCATTTATAAGTGAGAGAACCCATACACCTATAACCTTAAGGTTTTTGGTGAGTATGTGGTGTGTCTCTCACAAAGGTTGCTCTAGAAAAAAGTCCCACTATGTTCAATGCTCTCTAGTTGAAAAATCTCCCCTAACAGTGGTATCATGAGCCTTTGGTTCGAATAAAGGGAACGACTTACTTGTATCGAAAGTATCCCCATAGGTTGTGGGTTGAGTGTCTCGTTGAAGAATGTCAACGACGGTACAAGGGTGCAGTTGTACAGTTAAAGTTTCCGCTTAAGGGAGAGCATTGGGATAGACTCACACTTGAGGGAGAGTGTTAAGTATTAACAAGTGTGAGTAGGGTGGATAATAGTTCCACATTGGATAGAAATGTGGTGACTTGAGCATTTATAAGTGAGAGAACCCATACACCTATCACCTTAAGGTTTTGGGTGAGTATGTGGTGTGTCTCTCACAAAGGTTGCTCTAGAAAAAAGTCTCACTATGTTCAATGCTCTCTAGTTGAAAAATCTCCCCTAACAGAGACCTTGCTCTGATACCAGTTGAGTTGGAAAAGCAAACATTTTGTGTGTTGGAAATTCACCTCACACCCTATGAAGAATTCCCTTCAATCTTGATCTCAAGATTAATTAAACTTTCACTTGCTAACTGCAACTGTGAAATCTGTTCTGTTGTGATGTAGAATACAAAGCAAGGCACCCTATTTATAGTTTTAGGTTTACAAAAGCTCAAACCATAAAAGACCCAAAATATTCAAATCAAATCTAATCATATGATATCAAATCTAATCATATGATATCAAATCTAATCATATGATATCTAATCATATCATATCAAATTAATCATATGATATCAAATCTAATCATATGATATCAAATCTAATCATATCAAATCACAATGAATTATATTTAACATGCACATCAATTTCATTACATTTTCAAATAGTTTCAACTACTTAAATCATTAATCACTTGTATTACTGTTGCACCCCAAATTTGTCCTACCTTTACATAGTTTCTAGTGCCACTTTATTTTGAATGAATAAAATGGCACAATTGGCAAGAGACCGTGTGTGAGGAGTTGTGAGTGTGAGAGGTCGAGAGTTCGAATCCCACCTTCTTCACTTTTTGTTTTTCTTTTATTTTTATTCTCCAATGTGCTTTTCATGAGGGTGCCCCAGGCCACGACTTGGAACATTGTTTTGCGCTGAAGGCTAGAGTACGTGAATTGATTAGAACCGGAATACTTGATTTTACAGACGGTCATCCGAATGTTCAGAAGGATCCCTTGCCAGTGCATCAGAAATGAAGTTTTATCACTAGGCCTTTTATTCCTTGTTGTTTGCATTTTCCTTATTTCGTATTAGTTGTTTGCTTTCAAATTATGTTTGTACTTTTACATTAATGAAATGAGCATTGCGACTTTTGATTCAATTCATTTTGTCTACTATTTACATCTTTATGCTTTATTTTTCAAATATTTACTTTTTGTCCAAATTTTTGATATGCTAAGATTGGAGGGAGGATGATGATAATGTTATACCCATAACTGCTGTCAGTATGCTTTCAATGAATCCTTATTGATGATGTGAGGCATTATTTCAACTCCCAAACACTGGAGAAATAAGGAAGTTATCACCTTGTCACCCCCTTCGAGCCTAGAAGTTGGAGTTTCTTTCTTTACAAAAAAACCCGCAATCTTAGCCTGGGGATGCGTAGTTCTCAGTTAACTCGGTTGTGCTTTCCTGCAATACACCTTTCATATAAAGGTTGAATTCACAAGTTTTCCTTCGTACACAACAAGTAAGTGTCGAAGATGTTTTCCAATTCAAAAGCCGATGATGGTTCATCGTGATCATTAAGCTAGGCAGTCACTTTCTTTCAAAAAAAAAATCCGCTAAGTCAAAACCTATAAAGGAGACTTAGGCAAAACTGGGGCATCCCGCAGACTGTAATCTTCACAAGAAACAGCTCAGGCAAAATTTAGGGATAATGCAGAGAGGAGTTTTAAATCCTTACCCTAAAAATCCTAAATGTCAAAACAACCAAATGTTATA